AGTGGTAAAGTCAAATGTCATAAAGTCAAGTGTTCGTAAAGTCAAGTGTACTTGACCCCATGTATTCTCTATGTATTTTCTCTGCGGGGCTCCGCACGGAAGAACCCTTCGCGATGCTTTCGGGAATTATATACTATATCGTTGACTGCCCAAGTGTTCTGGGAAAGAACACAATCACGTTTCGTGCACGCACCGCACCTGCCTGAAGGTGAAATCTGCTTCAGCGTGTTCCAGGCGAACTCTGTTGCGAAATCTTCGTGCCTTGAAACATGAGGCGACTTGTAGCAGAAAGTGTAATTGGAGCGTGTCTACTTGTGCAAGCCGTGGTTCTTGTTGTTGCTGCTGTTGCCTCGAATCTCTACCTCTAGCAGGAACCTCTCAAGGAACCCTTCTAGGAACCGTTTCAAGGAATCCGTCTAATTAGGAGCCATGAAAAAGAACCCTACGCAGAGCCCCTATGAATACTAAGCTGGACTCGCGCTTGGCGTCAGTAGAATCCATGGGGCCATAGGCACTATGAAAACTATGAACCCCGAGTGCCCGGCCTCCTCGTAGCTTTGCTGCCTTTCGAGAAAAGCCTGGCTAAGGTCTGTATAGGGTTAGGGTTTTAGGGGTTTCGGNNTTTGGGGTTTAAAGTTTAGGGTTCAGGGTTTAGGGGTTCAGGGTTCGAGGGTATCGCTCGAACTCCTGGGACCTCTGGCTCTACATGATAAACTATGTGAGGGCATGTGTCCTGCACATCCTTCCGAGAATGACGCTTGCAACATGGGCACGATCTCAAACTAGTTCTAGAGTGTAACGGTTGACATGTCTAGTGTCGCCCCCAATCCAACGCACAACGCCGTACCACAGCCCAAAATCCAAAGTCATCAAAAATCGAAATCCCAACGAGCAAACAGCACCTGTGGCAGTGATGATGTCCTCGCAAACGTGTGGATTCTGGGATTTGCAGGCAGGAGTGTCGAGCACAACTTTCTCGGCTTCCTACTTGCGAGCTGACCGTCTCGCAGCAGCCGGCTTAGCTCCTTCGTGTGCTGTCGCTGCTGGCTGCCCGCTTGACCGGGGACCCATTCGGACCATCCAGAGTAGACGACATGCACCTGGCCGCCTGGCAATAAGGGTGCTGCATTTGGGAATGCGGCACTGTTGAACCGTGCCATTGGATTCAGCAACACATCCCGAGACCGCTGTCACATCAGTGCTCCAAAAAATCTCTGCGCACCCACCAAAAGTCCCTGGTCCTCCTGCCAAGACCCCCATCACCTCGTTTGGACTGTCTCAGCAATTTCCTGGTAGAAATGGTATGCAAAGTGCTCATTAACATGCAGATAGAGATTCGACTATTGAACAGCCGAAGGCTCATTCAACCCAAGATATAACTTAAGGCAAATAATTGCTCCCGGCGTGCCTGGCCGGGACTGAATGCATCCTGACTTGCAGACCTGCAGCGTTTGGGAATCCTCAACATGTACAGTTACCCACCGAATTGCCATCTGAAGGAGACGATCGGCTGTGCATTCGTTCCATGGGCAGGGTGTCAGCGGAGCGGGACACCAGGTGCAAGCTGGGTTGAGCAACACTTCAACGAGTTGCTGCCAGGGCGGTTGCATGTAAAGGATCGCATCTGCAACCACCAACTCGTGATGATTGTGAGTCGGCATGATGGTGGTGGAGACGGCGGTGACGAGCGACAGTGGTAATGATGTAAATGATGCTGATAAGATTGAGAAGGGTGAGCAGAGTAATTAACAAGGTACTTTGGGGATTTGGCTTCTTCGGGAGTTTGTGTGCAAGACCTGCTTTTAAAACGTGCATCATAGCCGAATCATAGCATCATCGAAACAAGGGCATGCGAACAGGGTTTCCCGTTGCGGGAATGCCGCATGCCATCATGGCCCATATCTTTAACACGAATGTAATTCGAGGTGGAACTCCCAGATGGCGCTCCAGCCAGCAATGTAAACGGGGAGGCTGAGCAGCTTTAAACGCATCTCCCGAAATGAGTCTTAACATCCACAAAAACCAGCGGCACGGCTGCCCGCCTTCGCGCTTCCAGCTTGCGCCGTTCTGCCAGCCGACGGCTCCGTGCAGAGAGCGTGGGCTGAAACGACAACGGGAACTGCCTTGGGTGCACAAACCCGAGGGGCCCAAAAGGCCTTATAATTAGGTGCTTGGATTTGACATAATGCTGTTGTAGGTTGGTCTTTGGGAGATCGTAGGCGCTTTCGAGCGGGCTCCAAATGAAAGGCGGAGGGTCGGCCGTCTATGACGATTGCAGCTGCTGCACCATCAAATCTGCGAGCTGTTCGTTGGGACGCACAGCTTTGGGGCTTGAACAGCGAAACCTTCTGCCATGGAGGAAGCTTGGGATGTCTGACAGCAGAAAGACCCGGAACACACACATACATATGTATATATAGCTATAGCCTCTGTATAAATATATATATATATATACTAGGTAGAGCCCCCGACCCTTGCGA